AGAGGAGAGGAGAGGAGAGGAGAGGAGAGGAGAGGGGCAAAGGAGTAAAGTGTTTGAGTAGGCAAGAAGGGTGGGGTCCAGAGCCCAAGTGCAGGGATAGACCTTTGACAGGAAGGGGAACACTTCTTCACTGAACGTGCAGGAAAAAGATGAGTGCAGGCAAAGACTGCCTTGGTAATGGGAGGCGGATGAAGCATCAGCTTGATGGAGTGTGCTTTCTTGATGGTCGACATTTGCCTGGAAGACAAAGGCCCATGACCTGAAACATGTGCCCTGGTATATGAATGGTTAAGTAGATTTTGTCTCACCATTCCCATCAAAAATAGCCAACCATATTCATCAGTTGCTAACACCCCGTTTCCAAGGAAAAGCAGAACTTTCAAAGGTAAGAGTTCTCACCTATTCCATCCTCACGCACACTCGTGCACACCGACATGCCCACCTTGCTGCATTTTATTGCTTTCCCCCAACCTGTCAATATTCCCAATTTGTCCTGTCGGTTGCTTTTTGATCTATATGCTCCTTGATCAATGACCTCTTTAATCTGGCAGTTCGATGCATGGTATTGAGCTGGTAATCCCATGTGGATTAGAGCCACTTGTTTCAAACCTTGAAATATCAGATAAGGAAACATCTTAGAAAGAGAAAGCACTAATCCTTTTAGGGAGATCAAAATGAGAATGATTGGAACACTGGGGTGACCTTGCCAGGAAGCTGGCACATGCTCTTGGAAGAGCAACTCTAATGAACACATTTCTAGAATGAAGTTGTAGCCTCTCCTCCCATCCATTGCCTCATAGGCCATCTATCATGCACTGTTTTAAGTACTTTTCAGTAATGAAAAAGCTTAGTTAGTAAATGCGGAGGAAAGCTGCAGCTCTCCTTATCACATACACCAAATGATGCGCCAATTGAACTCTTGAATGTATACAGTGACTTTCTCTCAAGTGGCTCAAAGAACATTCATTTATGTTGCCTCAGATTCTCTCTGGGCTTTGTCTGTTTCCTATAACTCAGTTAAAACATATTGGGAAGCTGCAGTAACTATTTCAGGAAGCCCTTTAAGGTCACTTGGACACCATTTAATAAATTAGTGTTCCAGTGGACTCACTTAATTTCAGGAAATAACTTAAGCCCCAGGAAACTATGACTCAGGGTCTGTTTTGTCCCCACCACAGTGAGATTTAAGTACCAGGCCTGTGCACCAAAGATTCTAAAAGGGTCCTTTTGCCTTTTGTTAATCCCCAAAATAAATATATCTCTTATTTCAGGCCTATTATCCCAAAATCAGATAGGAAGGTGGGAAAAACTAAAACCTAGATTGTTCAAAATTTTATATTGGTTCAACTCACGCTTCTTCAGTGCGGTGTCATACTGCATGCCATGTGTGCCTTATGTAGGAGCTGTGTGCAAAATAAAGGCTAAACCCCTCAACCACTTCTTTTTGCTTTTGAGTGTGAGGCTGTTGTTCAGAATTACTCACAGTTATGCAGAACTTCGTGCTGTGATGATGCAATGAAACCACCCATTCTTCCTTCACAATGTGTCAATGTTACGTGCATATAAATTCCACATTTTTTCTGAGCTAAGCAAAGTGTACTATGTAAAGTTGTTACATTTTGGAAAAAACAGATACTTTTGGATCAAAGCTGGAGAGTTATCTTGCCCAACACTAACAAAAACAATAAAGGACGTTCTGGGAATCATCTCCGAAGGGTGTGAATAATATCTGCTCTCTAGAAATCCCTAGCTGAAACTTTTCCTTGAGGCAGGTTGGTTGGATTAAATGTGCCTTCCACCCTAGGGTTCTGCAAATCTATCGTTATAATGGCAGTTTTGCTGACCCTTCAAATGGGCCGCACTGACAGAGTCTCACCCTAGATTGACTGAAGTCTTTGCATGGGTGGTTTGAGTTTACGGTCATGGAACTTTATTTAAATAGAAATCCTGGTGTTCCTGTTGGGCTTCAGGCCATTTGGAGGGTTATTTCAAAAAAAATCCACATACACATATATAATATGTTTATTCTTTGTAAGCTTGGGCTTCTTTTTCTTCAGGTAGGAAGGTGAACCTTAATTTGCAAACCTATGTTTGGAAGTGTGGGGGAAGAAAAACTGTACTTCTGCCCTTCTAAATTCTTCTGGCTAGTCTAATAACCAAGTGAACATGAGACAGAGTACCAGGAGAGACAACCAAATTTACTATGTATGCACCTACAGGAGTTCCCCAAGAACAGACTGGGCAGGAAGACAATTCACAAGGAGACTAAAAAGCATCTTATGGTTCATATTAAACTATAGTTATCTAAAAAATAAAAATATAAACTATAGTTATCTATGATGATATTGCCCTTCCTGGAGCGGGTCCTCTAAGTTCTTTTAAGCAGTTAGGGAGAAGGTCAATGGTTTTTTCCTGAGTCTTTCATTTCTTGAAAATAATCAGCTTAAAGTAATATTTGGGGTGGCATATTTTGGGGTTGTAAACCCTGCTTCCCCTCAGAAGATTATAACTCTTCCTCAATGAGAGTAGATTACAGAGAGTATCATGGATTTTTACCTAAAAGCTTTTGACAAATAGCAGACTATTAAATGTTTTCATTTTAGACTTGCCTATCTTACCTTCCAGAATTTCAATTACACCCGTGCATGTTTAGTCTCATACAATCTGTTCCCTAAGAATTGGCTAAGGCTTTTTGATAAGGGCCAAAGGAATCCAAAGGTTAGGACCTGACTGCAGGCCAGGGATTTGCAAACTGTTGCCCGTCTGCCTTTTTTTTTTTGGAAAGAAAAGGTTTATTGAAACACAGCCACGCTTACGTGTTTCTGCATTGTCCATGGATGCTTTCCCATTACGACAGCAGATTCAAGTCGTTGCAACAGAGAGTATATGGACAGCAAAGCCTAAAAAGTTACTATCTGGGCCTTTAGATAAAAAGTTTGTAGACTCTGCCTTTGTGTTTATATATATATAATATAATACAATATATATTATGAATGGTGGTTCGTCCTTCTGGTCCCCTGAAATTAATAAGTGGGATGTGAAGATAAGTATGTTCCTATTGATAGCAGTTTTATTTCTGCATTCCAGAAGTATAACAATGACTGGTGGATAGGAAGGCTGGTGAAAGAGGGCTGTGAGATTGGCTTCATCCCAAGTCCACTCAGATTGGAGAACATCCGCATTCAGCAAGAACAAAAAAGAGGACGTTTTCACGGAGGGTAAGCCTCCTTCCTTTCTATAAACAT